AAAATATTTATAAAACAAGAATTCTCTTGCTTAGTCCTTCATCTTGAATGGATTTTTTCATCACAATGCCATCTCTCTGTGAAGAATACCTGTAATGTTACTGCAGAATTTGGCCAGGACTGGAAGCTAGCATAATTATTCTGCCAACCTTTTGAAACCGCCTTCACGTCAGGACATGGTGTCTTCGAGAACAAAATGCTGATTGAGTTTACCAAGAGATTAATGTCCAGTCACTGCAATTAGACAGATCAAATTTACAGATCAGTTTTTTTAACCTAGAAGAGTACAAGGCTGGCTGTGCACAAAGGCTATTTCTAAAAAAAAAAAGGGTCAAATCTGGCGCTTCTGAATCAGCGACTGTAAGTATGTTTTGTTATTAGTTTAAGTATTTGCTATTGACTGTTCAAATGCGGAGTTTTGCGCAGTGCAGAGTCGTGTGTGTTTATGTGTGTGAGGGGAACAGGGTCACATCACAGGAGAGTGAACTCTCTGTCAGAAATCATAGCACGTCAGCTGTCTTAACCGCGGCTTGTGTACTGCATCATCACTGTGTCTGTCACGCGACTCTGTTGCCCTTTCGGGCTTGAACTGATGGTAAAACTAACGACATTATTAACTGTCTTGATATTTACTTTGAAAGCTGAAGCTCGCGATTATGGTAAGGGGTGTTACATTTCCGATGCGTGCTTGTGGTGTTCGGCCAATCACAATGCACTGGGTCAGCTGGCCAATCAGAGCAGACTGCGCTTGTCAAAGGAGGGGGCTTTGTAGAAAACAAAGCGTTTGAGAGAGGCGGGGCATAGAGGACCTACAATAATGTACAGTATTTGAAAAATAATGTGTTTTCTGAACATTAAAGCATGTCAACATATTCTGTTACACCAAATACACAAAATAATGATCTTTAAAATAGCATCATATGACCCCTTTAAAATGCTACAGCTCATGAAAAAGAGCCTCTGAACCTATTTAGACTTAGAGCACAGACATGGGAAAACATGCTGAAAGACAGCAGCGGGTGGCATTGTTTGTGAGCTAGATTAAGTGATATCAGATTAACCGCCAGCAGATTACTAGTACTCTCTCCACCACTACGACCTCTTCCTTCATTCGGCTGAATCTGTCAATGGCTCGGCGGAAAGAGATGCATCATAACGAAACCAAGGCAAGCCGAAACACACTCGAGCAAGGCGTGTGGACTAGTTAACGTGGGACAGCCGCAGGGGTGTTTTACTGCAGGCTGAATGCATCGCTCACCTGGCCACCGACTGGATGACTTTGGAGGAAGTGTCTTTGATGTTGGTGAGGAATCTTTCGGTTCCTCCTTTAAGAATATCCAGGAAGCCTCCACCCATGGCCGGGTCTGTGTCATACACACCTGGAGATGCAAACACACACATAACCGCAGGCCAACGCTTGTCAAAAGAGCTTTTACGGGACAACAGCTTTGATGAATATATTTGACATATGCACACAAGAAATGTCTCTTTGCAATGACTCTCAATCAGCTCATAACACTTGTCAAGAACAAAGAAATGTTCTTTACAACCCAAATGATCAGATCTAGGGGTTAGTTCACTCTAAAAGGTCAAAGATTCATGCCATCAAAACTTACTACTATGTAAACAACACACATCTTCTGCTCGTCTCAATTATATCGGTTTTTCATGCTCCTAAACGTCTTCAGAAAGCTTAACCGTCTAAGTTGCCAATATAATAACCATTTATTTAGAATGACATCTACAATACAGACTAGTAGAGCTGGTTCTGCTTCTATTATTTTATTATTAATTACTTAGATAACATGAATAAATGCTTTTATGGATCACTATATCAGTGCATCCTTAATATCAAATGCCTATTCAGTATTCATACACCGTTGTATTGGAATGCAAAACCAAATAACATACATTAACCAATACAAAATTACTATTCAACCAAAAAGTAACTAAATAACAAAAACAAAAAAAAACTAAAAACAGAAACAAATAATAATAATAAATAAATAAATGAACCAACCTACTAACTAATCAACCAACCAATTAGTAACAGGAATAACTATTAAACCTTTACAATAAGGTCTCATTCGTTAATATTAGTTAACATATACCAATAGCATTTATTCATCTTAGTTAATGTTAACATTTACTAATATTTTTTCAAAAGAAAAAATATATTCCGAAGTTTCATCGATTAACAATGATAACAACAATTGCACTTTTTATTAACTAACATTAACAAAGACAAATAAATACTATAAAAAATATTGTTCATTTTTAGTTCACAGTTAAATGTTAACTAAAGACAATAATAAACATTATTAAATAAATAAATAACTCAACCAACCAAAACGATCAAATAGCTAATAACTAACAGACATCAACAAAATTAACAAATAATAATAATAACTAACCCAACCAAAACTTTGTGAACTATGCTAATATGCATCGATAAAAGAGATTATTTCGATACAGAAGTCTTAAAGGTACAGTAGCAAAAACAGCCTACTTAATTTTCAGGGTCAGAGAGAGTAAAAGTAAACTGTGTCTTTTGGTGCAACAAATATTGTTTAACATTATAAGTGTTAATATAATTAAAGTTGAAAAACGAAAAGCTACTAAAGTGTAGAATATGATCCTTTTAATGGGCTGATATTTAGACTGTAAATTAAGAAACCAGATCGAGTGTGCAGTTACGTGAGTGGTATTATCACTTTCTGACTGTGTTTACTCAGAAAACCAGAGTAAACTCAGCAGATGGTGACCAGAGGGCCAATCCTCTTACAGAACGTACAGAGAAACCATCTCGTGGGGTAAATATGGGGGCAGGGGTGTGTACGAGGCATTATCTGTTTGTGGACAGTATTATGGCAGTGTGATGGTAGGTGGAGGGTTACACTCCAGAAACAAGTTACTTGTAAAACTAGCAGGCATGAGTGAGTGTCTTTATGTATAAGCACTTTAATTCATTTGTGTATGAATGTCTGTCAGGTAAGAAGTCACAGAGATGAACTCGATGCTATCTTAAAGAGCTCGTTCAAACTGCGTATGCCGTTTTAACAAACTTGTAATGACATGACTGATGCTGCTTTATCCTGTCTCTCTCTAGTCTAATATATGCCTAGATATGAATCTCTCACAAACAAAGTACTTCTCATTACCACAAAAGCTGGTGGGCCTAAAGCCACAAATCATTGTTTACATAACTCAGCCAATTCCTGAATATATCAATCTGTGGTATTAAGAGCTTTTCAGCAGTTTAACAAAGTGCAAAATTAAAAAAAACAAAAAACAAATACAGCTGTGCCGGATATTACTTGTGTATATTATTAAATGCTGCAAGTCACCATTTGTAGAGGGGAACTGTGAGCTTTACATTACACAAGCACTAAAAAGAGGAAGATTCATAACTGATGAAATATTTCACAGCAGAGTATATGTAAACTAACTAACCACCTCAAATTACATTAACACATTCAAAAAATAACTAACCAACCGACGAAAAACATTAAAGATCCAAACCAATAATTAACCCATCAAAATGAACTAAGAATAACAATAACTAACACATATTATCAACAACAACTACAAATGAACAAACAAAACAAAAAACAAACATGAATAACAATAACTAAACAACATCCAAAAATAATAACAAAAATGAACAACCCAAACAAGAATAGAAAAGCTATAACTTGTATAAGTAAAAACTAATAAAAAACAAAAAAAACATGAATAAAAAACCCAACCAAGCAACAAGACTAACTAAAGAAACAACCAAGTAATATACCTAAATAACTAAAACATTAAAAACATCAATAACACAAGTTCAAATCTGTATAAGCAAAGAAATAGAAGCGTAAATGAACAAAAAAAAACTAACTGACCAACTAATAATAATTAATAACAATAACTAACAAATAAAAATTAACAATAAAAAAAAAAAAACTATTATTAACAAACAAAAAACAGCTATCTAAAATAACTAATTAACTAACTATATGCATGCTACAGAACTGAAAATGTAAAAAGGCATCAGAAAACAAAGGGAAACTTCCAAACGTAATGCATGTAAACACAGGATGCCAGCGCATCAATAGATCCTACGACAAGATAAGATCCAACAGCACACTCTTCACTGATAGACTGTTCACCTTTACAATACGTTTGTAAGATCGCGTGACATCAGTCAAGAGAACAGGGCATAATTACAAAGGAAGTGTGACATATTTGAATAAAAAAGGGAGGCTACACATCTGCTACAATGAAAATGACTTGCCAAAAAACAAGTTGAATGCAGTACTCACCAGCATTGTTTATGTTGTTGATCTGCGAGGGAAGCTGCGCGCTGTTGTTCCCAAACCCTCCGTTCTGCTCCAGGAGCTGTAGGGATTCATAGCCATCATACACAGACTTCAGACAGTAGTATGAACTTAACAGACTCATCAGGACGACAGTCCACTGCACACACACATCAGGAGCAAAGCAGGAGACCAGACTCCAGAATGCACACGCTAGTCAGTAACAGCAGAATATCTTCTGCAGCTTCTGGCTGTTGGTGGTAATCACTTTAATCCAGAGAGAAACCCCTTCTTAAGCCAGATCAGATGCATCTAAACCGCCCTCTCCACCATGTGTGCACACAGGAGCATAACACTGACAATCGCACTCAAACTCTGCTGTTTGGATGCTCTGAACTAGATCATTCATGTGCATTAATCCAGGAATGATCAATCCAGGAGTCGTTCTTTGAGCAGGGACAGCCCTTGTCCTCCCTCTTGTTTACCAGTCTTGCCTCTGTTTCTGTCTTATGTAGTGAGATCAGTGGCTATTAGGTCAGAGAGAAAACGAGGGATGAGATGCTGCTTTGTCTCCAGGAAGTCACGGAGGGAGGGAGGAAAGGAAAAAACAAGAGAATGCGAAAGGAAGAGTGCAGCGGTGTCTCTAAATGGCTCTTCAGAGAGTTGTGATCAGTATGTGGGACTCTGCTCGTCTCTGCGGGTGTGTGTGTGTGTGTGTCTGAGTGTCAAAGAATGAGGGGTTTGTTTCAAATGAAGCTCCAAAAGAGCCTCATTCAACCAAACCAACCAGTCGGGTGATCAAACAGAAGCTCTGAAGGAGAGATTGCGAAAATCTATATAGGGTTGTTTAATCAATGGCTGGTGCTGATATTTAGATATTTATATTGTTGATATATATGATACGTCACAATAATATTACACACACGCATATTAAAAGGGTCATATATATATATATATATATATATACAGTACATATATGTGTGTGTATTATTGCATTAGCATTTTTTTGTTGTTTATATTTTAATTTAAAATGTATTTAATACATGTAATCTATTTATTTATGTAATATAATGCATATTGAGTGCATTATTAATTATTGACAGCAGCACGTATTTGTAATATACAATGAATATCAATAAATACTATACAAATGTTATTTATATTACATAAGAACATAGCAAATATTTAATACTATTTAAATTAAAAAATATATAAAATATAATTTGTAAAAAGTTGCACAATATGAATAATAATATACATTATTAATAAATACATTAATTATATCAAGAACTATTTAAAATAAAATAAATGAACTTATATGAATGTATTCACATGCAAGGCATATATATACACATACATACATATGCGTGTATGTGTGTGTGTATATATATATATATATATATATATATATGTCTGTGTGTGTGTGTATATATATATATTTTAATAAATATTGATTAATTCATCTTCAAAATAAATTATTTTAAATGAACAGCATTCCACCTAGTGCCAGTTACAAAATCTATCAACAGCCATGTTTGTGGATTATGTGCATTTTAAAAAATGTAAATAAAATTGTAAATTTTTACTTTTTTTTTTTTGATTTTGGAGTTTTAAAAAAGTGGTAATTGCAATGTCTGTACATGTTATTTGATATAATTTAATTGTTTTATACATGCATTGTATTTGGGCCATGCTGAGCTCTAGATATAAATATTGCCATCACCCCCCCCCAACCACACATAAAAAAAAAACATTTCTGTTGACTACTATAAACTAGTCTCTTGCATTGCAGATTTAGCATGAAACCTACAAATGACCAGTGAAAACTTGATCTGAGAGACCATCACAACACATTACGTTTTTGTTAGATGGTTTGTACCTCAGTAATGGGTGATTTTGGGTTGACGTTCCTGGCTGCAGCGATCTCCTGCAGTTGGTTAACAAGCTCGTTGATTGAGAGTCGCTCATCTGGGTTGATTTTCAACATTGATCCTGAAACAAACACACAAGGCTTTTGACGCACAACAAATGCACAACAAACATTTGTTAAGATTTTGGTAAGAGGGAATGTAGTTAAGTTCCTGCAGGATACTTACGGATGAGCTGGTGAAAGACTGTGTACTTGGTGTCATTCTGAGGAATGTTGTATTTGCCGTTTACTATCTGGAGTTTGGCTCCCTCTTCAAACGGGTGCTGCTTAAAACAGAGCAGGTACAGGATGCAGCCCAGAGCCTAGAGACCAAACCAAGACTCTTTAAAAACCACAACAAGAACAAGAAGAAAAAACCTGTTACACTGTATCCTAACCAGGTGCTATGTGAAAAGTAATGCCAAAGTGCCTTCTTCACATGGCTTGGACAAAAATGCTTGCCTTCCTAAGCTTTCATTATCATTCAATTTTCCTTATTTTTCCAAATTCTTCCAAATATTCAGCAGGATTTTCCCTTCCAAATTAGCACAGAAAATGTGGAAAAAGTCATAACTAAACTAACTCACCCATATGTCTTGTTTCTCATTTATTGGGTAGTTGGAATAGAGGTCAATCATCTCTGGTGTCCGGTATGCTGGAGTCGTGTTTCTAGTAATCTAAGGGATAAAGAGAGAACCAAAAAAAAAAAAAGCAAGAAAAAGGAAATGATTTGTAATTTAGTGGGTCTTCTTTATGTTAAAAGATTGCATGCATGGATTATAATAATTGATCATTAAAGCATGTAAACACTTGCTCAACAATTTACACTACTGTTTAAAAGTTTGGAGTTGGAGATTTTTTTTTATTTTTCAAAAGAAGTCTCTTATGCCCACCAAGGCTGTTTATTTGATAAAAAAATACATTAAAAATGGTAATATTGTGAAATATAGTTCATTATATTCCATGCTATATCACACTATATATTACACTACAATATTTTTGAAAGAAGTCTCTTATACTCATCAAGGCTGCATTTATTTGATAACAAATACAGTACAGTACTAATATGAAATATTATTGAAATTTCAAATAACTTTTCTATTTGAATATATTTGAATATCTAATTTATTTCTGTGATGCAAAGCTGAATATTCAGCATCATTACTCCAGTCTTCAGTGTCACATGATCCTTCAGAAATCATTCTAATATGCTGTTGAGTTGCTGCTCAAGAAACATTTCTCATTAACAATGGTAATAATAGTGGAAACCATGATAAAAAAAACATACTGTTCCAAACATTATAACAGTAGTGTAGTTTTTAATCAATGTTTTCAAACTGTTCATATTTAAGCGAATGAATAAACGTATAACAACTTTACTACAAGCTTTGCTAGAAGATTGTAAAATGCTAAAAACTGGTCCTCGTTAGAATTAGCTGCTAACAAAAATGCATTGAATAAACAAACAGACATTCCATGTGCAGAGAAATGGCGGGCTTTGTGGATTGCGTGGGTTTTCAATTTTCAATTTACTAGCAATAACTGATTTAAGACGACCAGAAACCAAACAAACTAATTTAATCAACAAAACAATTAAATCAGGGAATGCTTCCACGGGAAATAGCCAGAGATTTTAATACAATCACCGCAAAATATTTATAATCATTTCCACAATTATTGTGACAATCCATGAATCACTATCAAAACTATAGCAAAACCAACCAATCAGAGGACAGTGAGTGATGTCAAAGTGACGTTCACCTGGTATTAATATTTATGTGGCATAAAGCTAGATGGGCTGCTTGGAGAATATCATTTGTTGCATTTTTTACCTCGTCTTCCACCATAGATCTCTTGTGAGCAGACCAGCTGTAGTCTGGGTAATGTGCCACGATGGTGGCGCTGCCAAAGTCACACAGCTTTATAGTGCCCTGATGACTGATCAATAAATTCTCAATCTACAGAAGAAGAAGAAATGTTATTGAACAATGTGCTTAATCATTTGGCACAGATCAAATGAGACATTATATATATATATATATACACGAAGATGGCAGTATTTATTGCACTGCATTATGCAGATTTACATTAACACATTTTATTTAAATATTAATTAAATCAAAAAATTTAAATGAAAAATAAACAAAGTTACAGTAATAAAAATATCACCACTGAGAATAATATAAATTACAAAAAAAACAAACACATACATTAATAAATAAATGAAAAAGTAACTAAAATATGAAAATAAAATGAAATATAAAATATAATAACAAGTATTATTTATACTATTGATTATAATAAAAATAAAATGAAATAAAGGCCAAGAAAATGTGTTTATTATATGAAATTAATCGTGCTGCAATTTTTTCTGAATTCCTTTTTTTTTATTTTAGGGTGAAAAGTTGTAAATATTCATACTAATGCTTTAATAAGCAATGTTACTTTGATGTTCTGTAAATAAAGCATTATTTAAGGATTCAGCCTGTGGGGCCTCACCTTCAGGTCGCGGTGGATGACTGGTGGAGACTGTTTGTGCATGTGCTGCACAGCACGACATGACTGGTAAAAGATCTTCAGCAATGTGTCACATAACATGGGTCCTCTCTGCTCCACCTTCTTCACTAAATCAACCAGCTGGCCTGCAGGAAATAGAGGGCGGAGGTCAATGTGAACACAGGAAACCGACGCCAATGCCAGAAAGTCAGAAGGAGAGAGTGGAATGTGTAAAGTCAGTCAAGAGCTTCCCTTTCGCTTTTATAAAAAGCGGTTTTGGCTTTTATCAAGACCAGAGTTTAAATGATCATCCAGCAACAAAGTGTGCTAATGTGTGTTACAGAGATTATTGTGCTATTAAAATTTAGGTAGCTCTTTATTTTATGGTCCTGTTCCACATGTACACACTATGTACTTGTTAGGGCTGCACGATTAATCAAATATGATTGTCATGCGTATCTTGTCAGTAAAGCTGGTTCTGTGATTAGTAGTAAATCTCCAGCAAGTGCTTTCAGATGGAGCAGCATTTACTACACAGAGCCATAGTACACTGACAAGCTATGCAAAATCGCGTTCATAATCGCAGACGATTTAATCGCGCGATTATGAAATCGAAGAAATCGTTATGCGATTATGAAAGCTGTTTGCGTAGCTTGTCAGTGAACTACGGCTCTGTGTAGTAAATGCTGCTCCATCTGAAAGCATGTGAAAATACCACATTTAATAACATGTTTTTACTCCAAACTCACTTCATAACGTCAGTCGAGCGAGTGCTTGAAATAAATCCTTCTGTGAGATGATGTGGCTTTTTACACAGAATAAGGCATGCAACATATTTCAAAGTATTCTAAGCAGTGATAAAGGCTATTACATACTTTATTATAATAAAAATTATAATAAGACGAACTCGGATAAACTATATATTGTCGTAGTCGTATATTTATTAGTCACGTTAAATTAATGAAAACAGTTAAATCTTCTGTTTATTCAGCAACTGCTATAGGGATTTCCAGGGTTTCTTCTGCGAGGCGTATTTGGAGTTTCAGCGCGAGAGCGCCCTCTGGCCTTTGGATGGAGATTTACTGCTGATCACAGAACTGTGCTTCACTGAAAGATAGGCATGACAATCGCAGCTTCTGCCTAATCGCGATTTATTGTCTTTGCGATTTAATTTCGATTAATCGTGCAGCCCTAGTACTTGTTATTGTAATTATAATAATATATTGTAATTACAATAACAGGGTAATAAACAGGTGAAATGGTAATAAACTTGAACCCACCCCTAAACTTAACCCTAACCTAGTTAGTTAACTTACATTATCAGTACCTTCTTTGTTAAGTACACTATAAGTACAAGTAAGTGCACGTACTGTAAAATAAAGTGCAACCAAAATGCGATTTTTTTTTTGAAAAATTTTGCAATTTTTAGATTTATTAGTGATGCACCAAATTTCAGCAACCGAAATAATCTGTTTTGGGGGGGCCGAAACATTCATTTTTAATTAGCTCTTCTCCTGTGGCACATTACCACTGTATCAGTGGACCATTTAGCAAAATATATGCGCTATATTACATATTCATTTTATTTTTACTTAACCTGTTGTCTTTTTTTGTCGTAAAAAACAGCTATTAAAGCCAACGTTTCAACAATAAATTGGGAATAGAAACATAATTATATAATTAAAAAGGTGAATTAAAAATGGCCTTTAAATGTTTATAAACCAACAAATATTTTTTAAGATACATAAATTAAATTCTGTCGTCCAATAACTGAAAATAACAATAGCTTAAAGTTTAGTGTGAAAAGTGTGACCTGAATTTGAATGAATTCGAATTTAATTTGCCTTGACACTTTTTGATAGTCCACTTTAGACATTCTACTAACAGTAAATAACTTTGCAGCTACAGGTCAACTAGCAGTCATTAGAGTATTAGTAGACTGTCTGCTTAATATCTTCTAACACTTTATTTTGATGGGTCCACAACATACAACATACTGTCTATGAGAAACTTTGCAACTGTCAACTTATTCTACTAACCCTAAACCTAACCTAACAGTCTATTCTGAGAGTTAGTAGACATGTAGTTGCAAATGAATGAGAATTAGTTGACATGTAGTTGCAAATAGTTAGTAGAATGTCTAATGTGGACTATCAAAATAAAGTGTAACCAAGAAGGGTTTTCTCCATCATTTTGTAATACAGTGTGAATGTGATGTTGTGTACGTGCCTCTACACAGCTCTGTGAGGATGAGGAACTCAGCCTGGCCCGTGTCCGACTCCTCCTTACTGATGGACGCAGCAGAGCAGAACTGTACAATATTGGGGTGGCCAGACAGCTTTTTCTACACAGAGCACATGGAGAAGCAGGTTAAGCTTTTCTAGCTTTTAGAAGGTTTTTTAAAATTTTTTTTACTGGGTAATACTCCTACTCCTATTTGTTTTACAAACTGGTGACAGCGAAATGCTGCTCTACAGATGTGAGAGATACCAGGAGCATCTTTGACTAACTAGGCATGAAAAAGGTGCCTAGCTACAGCACTGTGTAATAATGTAGTTAACTTGTGAAAATAAAATATTTGTAATTATTACCATGAAACAGACTTCCTGAATGATGGCTTTATTCTTCTCCTCTTCATTGGAGAGAAGTCTCTGCACACAAACATACAAATAAACAAAAATCTGTTGTTGTGACTCTTTAGCAAAGCAAAGGACAAATTACCACAGAAAGTGACAAAAATGCCTCAAATACCTAAAATATGGGGAATAATAAATGCATCTAAAGTGGATTTCCTCATTTTCTGTATATGTTATGCAATCTTCGATATCATATTTTTTTCTAGGCCTATCTAGTGCTTTGGCTTTGAACAAATTGAGATAAATGGGTCATGTGTTAAGTTTTTTTAATGTCAGTACTATTTTAGCAGTATTTATATGCAATTTAGTGCTGTCAAACGATTAATCGCATCCAAAATAAAAGTCTTGTTTACATAATATATGTGCGTGTACTGTGTATATTTATTATGCATACATAAATACAAACACATGTACATATTTAAGAAAAATATATGTTTATATAGTATATATATTTATATACAATATAAAATATAATAATATAAATATATAGATGTATATACATAAATATTTTCAAAATATGTATGTGTGTGTATTTATTTATATATATATATACATAATAAATAAACACTGTACACATATGTTATGCAAACAAAAACTTTTATTTTGGATGCGATTAATCGCGATTAATCGTTTGACAGCACTAACACTATTACAGCATTCATTAATATCGTTTTTATTTTTAGATTTTATACTATGCTATATTTTAGTAATTATGTTATGTGCTTTTTCATTTGTGTTATTTTTTTAAATATTAAAAATATGAATAAATATTTATTATTACTAGTTTCCAAGGCGACATTACTCATTTCTATTTAGGTTTTTTTAAGTTTAAGTCTAATATTAATTTGATTTTGCTTTAGCTTTATTTCAATTACCGAAGATTTTTAATTTGAGCTTACAATAACAACACTGTTGTATGGTCATTTATTGCAAAAAAGCCCTCACAAAGAGTCTAAAAAAACTTCAGGGGTGTAAATATTGCTCTTTAAAATAACATGAATTCATTCATTTCTATGCAGAGGGTAATTAACTCATTAGCACATACAGTATAATGGCAGTCAATATAATTATCTGAACGTTTATGTGCGATGATGACGTCGTCATCATACCTTGAGCGCATAGTCCTTACTGCTGCCCAAATCCTGGGCTTCATACACAAACGCAAAGCCACCTATAAGAGAGGAAACATATTTTATCATTAGGTTTATTTTAGGTTGACTGTGAAGGCACCAATCTGAATAAGGATTTTGGCAGATTCAGTTTTGCTGACTTGGGATTGTGGCACCAACAGGACATGAGACAGACTCATTTCCGAAAATACATGTAGACTAGTCTGGAATCAGTCTATTATAAAGGGAAGAACAACTTTTCTGAGTGCCACACGAGTGTCAGGAATTCACAACCTTCCCAGCATTATAAAATTCTCTTTAAACACAACATGAATGAGTCAGTCTTCTAGACAACATGAGTAACATACACACAGAAAGAAACGTCTGCCCTCAGCAGTCATTATTCAACAAACCGAGTGAATGAACTCATTAAGTCTGCACAGCTATGACACTACACAACATTAACGAATCACTGATCTCAGCAAATAACCTCAAAGATCATTCTATGTTTATGCAATGGACTTAAAGTTATGACCAGTCTTAAAGAAGAAAAATAGATGACTATCATTTTAGGCAACCAGCTACAGGGGTTGAAATCTTCATCTTAAAACTACAACTAATAATAACAGTAAAATAGCAGTAAATTATATAATCATTAAAAAGAAGAAATATTATTGACAAGCAAATTATGATAAAGTGGAATATTGCAATTTTTTACTTTTATTTATTTCCATTTATCAGTAGGCCGAACGCTGAATCAATAACTGAAAAGTGTGAATAAGTAAAAATAGAAAAGTGTGACCATGTCAAAATTGATTATGAGATTATCATCTCTACCTAAATAGCTATTCGGTAATTGGTTAACATGAACTATTAACCAACAGTCTACACCAGGGTTTCCCAAACTGGGGTTTGTGAGTTCATGTAAAGCAAGTTTTACAAATAATTCAAACTTAAAATATTTTATTTCCCCTGCATGCCATGCCATCATTAACTGTCATTAGAGAACTGCAAATATGTGAATGCGACATTAAATTATTGAAATAGCCAATAAAATTTAAATCTCAGAGCGTACTTCAAGTAAATATTTTAGGTCACAGGTGTTCAGACTGAAATGTATATATATATTTTTGCAATTTTTGTGCATTGTGCAATTCCGCTACAAAATGTTGAATAGAATTACACTGACTGATTCTTAAAATGAGTAGTATGGCTCCATGAACAGATGTGTCAGTCAACAGTGTCAGTTGTGTATGTCTTTACATGAACAAAAGTGACAATGCCAGCCAGGTATTTATGGACACTTGTGAAACAATCCTCAAGTGACCAAAACGGCCTGTAACCATGGCAACGGGTAAATGAATACCAGCGGAGGCCCGAGTCAGGCTGCACGAATCAAAAGAAGCTTTCCAGTTTCACGTTACAGTGCGCTGACATTCACACGCACCACAAATTAACAAGGAACGGTCCAAAACAAAGTGACAGAGGAACAGCGAGAGACCTCAGGCAAATATAAAGCATACCGAGCCATAATGATCTGGATTCAAAGATTCAAATCTGGACTGTTCTGTTCAAATAAAAGCCTTTTCTGGACACAATTTCCAGTAATAATGACCAACATTACAGTCCAGAAACGTCATTGTGATGCAAAGAATTAAGTAAACAATATCATGTCTGATACTTTGTCATTTAAATGATGCCTTCACCCAAAGACACACATTATACAGACAGGAACCTGCGGTTGATTGCTCATGGATCATTAGTTCAAAACTTCCAACTTTCTGCTTACCAGGTTAGATCTCTAAACACTATGCCTCAACACCACCATGCAAATCATTCCTGTTCACCCAGAATGCCCTCTGTTTCCATTCAGGGCCTGTAGATGTCAACACACCTGAGCAAAGTGAAGGTCAATGATGGGCTGGAGTTATACAGCATGAGCGGTTATGTTAATATTACATAACCCAACAGATTTCAATAGGTCTGACCGAAACACCCCACTTTGACAGATAATAATTAAAATGTGAATACACCTCACACAAGCAGTAGAACTATTTGCACTTTATTTAGAAAGGATGCATTAAACTGATGAAAAATGACAGTAAAGACATTTATAATGTTACAAAAGATTTCCATTTCAAGCTGTTCTTTTAAACTTTCTATTCATCAAAGAATTCTGGTTTGCACTAAAGTATTAAACAACACAACTGTTATCAACACTGATAATAAGAAATGTTTCCTGAGCAGCAAATCAGCATTTTAGAATGATTTCTGAAGCATCGTGTGACATTTTAGAGTAGTATTGATTAGGGCTGGACGATATGGCCAAAATTGATATCACGATATATTTCTTCATTTCGGTCGATACGATATAATTCCGATATCGATATGAACACTATTTATCTGAAGTAGAAATCTTTTGTAACATTATAAATGCCTTCATCATCATCATATGCATCCTTGCTAAATAAAAGTATGAATTTCTATCATTTCTTTCCCAAAAAAATAATTAAAATTATACTAATGGAATAGTGTATAATGTTACAAAAGCTTTTTATTTCAGATAAATGCTGATCTTTGGATCTTTTTATACATCAAAGAATCCTGAAAAAAAAATGTACTCAACTGTTTTAAATATTGATAATCAGCATATTAATGATATGATAATGAATAATGATTTCTGAAGGATCATGTGACACTGAAGACTGGAGTAATGATGCTGAAAATGTACCTATGTATGATCACAGGAATAAATTACATTTTAAAATCTATTCAAATAGAAAGCAATTTTAAATAGTAAAAATATTTCAACATTTTACTGTTTTTGCTGTACATTGGATCAAATAAATGCAGGCTTGGTGAGCAGAAGAGAATTTTTTTTAAAAATGTAAAAAATAACAACATTAAAAATCTTACTGTTCAAAAACTTTTGACTGGTAGTGTAGGCTGATTATTCTTATAGATTGAAACAAATGTGCTTCAATCAGAAAAAGGGGTATGAAAAGTGCTCCGAGTCGCTGCAGAAAACAAAAAAATTTAACAACAATAAAAACTGGAAATGTTGCTGGAGACGGGCTTATTGAAAATGCAAACTCATTGTCTGCCAGCAGGAGGCGCTTTGAGAGCGGCAGAACTAGCGGTTTCTCCAGTACCGCCTGTAATCAAATCAGCTCCGCTCATGAACACTTCTTTATCAGATCAAATGAAAATGCCATCGAAACTTTTCTGAAGACAGTCAATTCCCTTCAGAGATACATTCATATAAAACACCCACGCCGTGCTATGATTTTGAAACGTGCAGTGCTCATGTTTATTCAACGAAGTCAAACGCCACAAATAAATCAATGTATGGGAAACACTGGTAATGTATATCGAAATATCGAAAATGTGTTTAAAATCATATCACCGTTACTGAAAAAAATTATATCGCGATACATATTGCTATTGAATTATTGTCCAGCCCTAGTATTGATGCAGTTTCAGTACTACTGCAAACTGCTACAGTACTAGTATGTGCTATATTACAAATATGACAATATACAGTAACAATTAGTATTAATGTTTATGGAAGCCCATTTGTCATAAAATAAAGAAATAAAAAAAATTAGCAACTTTTTAATCTCGCAATTCAGACTTTTTCCTCATTACTCTGTCCGAGTATCACACAATTTTTTTTATTTTGTGGTGGTAATAATAATAACGCAAGAAGTAAACTAAGAATTCAAAGGGGGTGTGAGATACGATGAGATAAAAATCCAGAATTCTGAGTTTATATCTCACAATTTTGAGAAATAATGGTCAGAACTGTAAGATTTAAACTCAGAATTCTGGCTTTTTTTTTTTTTTGGCTAAACAAAGTCCGAATTTTTAATTAAGAAGTAGCATTACTTTTACATTTCTGTGCCATGGCAGAAACAGACTTCCATAAATATGTGATATACCACATTTTATGAGGAATGACACCACAAAAAAAAAAAAACTGTGGTTCCAGTGATACCACCATGTTTTTGTACCATGTAAATACCTTGGTGTATGAATACAGTCTGTACACAGGCGCATATACAGTATATAAATAAGTTCAGTTAAAACATACAGATGAACTTATGGAATATGAATATTAACTATATTAACGTGACTATTCAGATAGTTGTGCTATTGACGGAATATAACAACGTTATCTAAATGCCTCAAGAACATACAGATTATCATCTGAAATATAAAACGAGTTCATGTCAGGTGTATCAGAGCTAAGTGACTTGCTAACAACTTAGCCAGCTAACGTTAGTTAAAGTCCATTGTCATCTATATAAGCACAATTATATACATATATACTAAAGCTAATGTTAATATGTGACTAAGAATACATTACGGACATTTTACAGTCAAATTTAGAGCTGTTTTAAATAAAATACATGTCAGTATCTTAAGCAGGGGTTAGCATGACTAGCCTGGTGCTATTTTGAATGAATCTTTTACCTTCGGCGATGACTCGTTTGATCCGGAGCTTTAGATCTCCGAGCTCCACCACCTGACCGACGAAGTCGTTCTGATCCCGGCTGGCGGCGGCAGATCCGCCGGGCCCGGCCAGGAAATCGAGCGCTGACTGGAAGAGGGACATTTTGTCCCTCTTTTTCTGTTGCGCCTATAAACCGGAACCGGCACCGGATGAGAAAACAAGTGCACTAACTCAGTTAGTGGCGTAACTAGATAACAGAGCGTTAATTTGGATTTGAAACTCTCTTTTCTAGGATGAAAACATCTCGAGTACTGGTTCCGATTGACCTGCTTGCTCTCTCTCTCTCTCTCTCACACACACACACACACACACACACACACACGCACGAGTTGCTTTCAAACTCTGCTCTGGTCTGTCAGATCTGAAATGTACGTGACTAAGGTGGTTCATTCATCCATCAAAGTCTATGTCAAATGTTTAGACTAGTACACATATGTCTCAAATACTGTTATGTACAAGTGATGGCATCAGATGGTGATAGCCTATGGAAATTCATGGATCATGATTTTTACATGGTAATACCATAGTACATGTTCCCACACCCAGAAACATTCCTTTTGGTACTATACCTTTATAGAAAAAGTATTGTGCCATACTTTAAATATGCCATAGTATTTACTGTACATACAGGGCCACATATCCAAAATACAATAGTAAAGTACCATGGCACTTTTTTTTTGAAGCGTTGTTAATCAAACAGTACCATAGTACATTGACATTTAATAAGGTTTGACTTAAAAATGAATATAATACAAGAATAACAATAGGCTAAATAATAAGGATATATACAAGCAACATGTATATCATAGTTTTACAGTCACTTAAGAGTGCTGAATATTTGCATTATTCTCCCCAATACCATAGTGCAAAAAATCATATAAGATTTAAATTGTAAAGTATCTGGTGTACTGCCAGAAATGTATGCTAATATTGCATTACAGACTTTTTCTAATACTGTGAAAAAACGACGCATTAAAGTAACTGTAAAACAGGGAATCATGCAAGATATTAGGACTAATATTTATGGTCCTGAAATTGAAGATTTAATTTTTTTTTACGTCTATGCAAAATATAATTGTTAAAATGAATTGTAAATGAATATATTAATCAACATCATAATATCATATTGATTAATACACTAATTTAAGGAAAGGCTTTAGTGTAAAATATTGTTTTATGGCTCCAGAATTAAATGACCTTATTTAACAATTAATCTCCGGCGCAAATTAGAAAGTAAAACAATCATCACAGAACAAACTCATCATAAAGAAGCAAAAATACTTAGTGGATTGAAACATTGACTTTATTATTTTTTTTCTTCTAAAAAAAAGATCAAATATACAGTTGATATAATTTAATATGCATATTGCTACATGGAAAGTAACTAGAAAGTTTGATCAGAAAGCTGTGATGGAATGATTAAACTAGCTGAGGGTGAAGCCCAGGGGTTTACAGTGCTCATATACGTCTCATAATAACAACAGTATAGAAAGAGAAGACATACATTCATCAGTTGATCTTTGAGGGACCTCAGATGCCACTCTAAAGCAAAGTGGTGCAGTTCGGGGCATGTATGTACAAAGCATCTCAACGCGCACAACACTGCTCCAGGATCAGATCTTCCCATTTCAGTCACTATATAATACAACACAAATGACTTTGAGATGCACTTTGTCAACATGGCCCGTTTGGAGGAAGAAATTCATTACCTGACAATGCAGCTGTTTTATGTTTTTTTTCTTTTTCTGATCGAGTCAGCTATATGAAATTTAATCTGTACATATTACAAATCATGTTAGAAACAACGTATTTGCATAAAACAAGTGTTTTATAATTACAAAAAGACATTCTGGGTCATTTGCAAAGCAGCATAGTCATTTAAACAATACTTTGCTGATTGAATTGAGCACATCACTTATTAGTGGACGTGCACGTCAATGAGACAAGTAATTAAGAAAACGAATAGTCTAACTCCATCTGCTCAATGCTGCTCTCAAACGCTTTAAGAAAAACAGTCCACCTGGAACACACAGTCCACAACGCAATGTGAGGTAGTGATGCACAGGTACAGTTCACACTTTCATATCATGTTAAAAAAATATAGATATTTGTAGAGTGTAGAATGTGGTCGCCTGCTCCTTGCACAGAGAGGATTATGAAACGGTTCTTTGTGGTATCGAGGCTTGTTAGAAAACGAAGAAGAAATGGCTGATAAAGATGTGAAGAGCAAGAACAGAACGTACTGTAGCACAGACCGGATTCTGCAGCAAAGCCGAAGAGAAGGAGAAAGTATATAAAACTTTCTTGCTTTGGATCATTAATTGAAACTCACAAAACCTGTCACCCCACAACCAGAAGAAATTGAATGAAGACCATTATTATTTCTTTAGCATTATAACCCTTCCTGTAATTCTCTCCAACAATAATGGGGGGGGGGAAAAATATATATTTTTATATATAATATATTCAAATTGTAAAGTATCTGCTGTATTGCATTACATTTATGCTGATTTTTAATATAAAATGATTGTATTATAGCAAATGAAAAAAATTGTATTGTATAAAATTACTGTATTACAGTAATAGTGAAACATGGAAATAATCATGAATAGTGAAATATTAAAACAAATATTTACGGTCCTAAATTAATTGGAAAAAATTATATATATATATATATATATATAATTTTTTCCAATTAATTTAGGACCGTAAATATTTGTTTTAATATTTCACTATTCATATTTAAAACTTGACTCTTCTGTAGTTACATTGTGTACTAAGACCGCCTGAAAATAGGCTAACTTCCTCAACATAACCAACGTGAGCACCTGCTTGCACAGGGAGCGTGCTGGGGACTATTTTCAGGCACTGCGTAATATCATTGCGCCTGCTGCACCCATGGTACGGCAGTAAAGTTCCTTGATTATTACGCCGGAATGAGAGTATAGTTCCTAGCCATATCGGCCTAGAAAATCGCAACTTTTCATTTTCCGTCGGTCTTAGTACACAATGTAACTACAGAAGAGTCAAGTTTTAAATAGGATAAATATAGAAACTCTGGTAATTTTTGAGCGAGATGCTAACGGTCTAATCAGATTCAATGATCTATGCTAAGCTACAGCTAAAAGTGCTACCGCCAGACCCGGAGATCGGCTGAATGGATTCAAAAACGGTAAAACTCAACTGTTTAACGCTAACAGTAAAAATGAGCCTATTTTCAAAAATAGTGGCGTGTTCCTTTAAGGGTGAAATGTGAGATTCGCCAAATTATGTATGAATGAGATATAAAGTTGGGTATGTGCGCTTGATACAGATTTGATTATTGTGGTAGTGTTAAGCCACAAATACAGACATTCACAATGATTCAAAAAGAGAGACAAAGGAGAACAAGCTCCGAAAACATCAAGCAATGTTTTTTTTTTGTTTGTTTTGTTTTTGTAATACGCTTACTGAAAAACAATGGACAAATAGCTTAAAATCAACTATTTATGGTGTCAGATTTGGTTGCTGTTAGTTTAAAAGTAGTATTTCCACTAGTATTAAAATGTGTTAAAACAGATAGAAAGAATGAAGTCACAGGGTAAAACAAATTAATTATAAAATATGATGATTGAGGCATAAAACGTATTGCTGGTCTGGTGTGCTGATGTAAAACTGTGGTTCTCCGATCTATATTATTTGTTTTTTTACTATGCAAAACATAAAGAAACCTGTGTATTACTACAATTGAACATGAAATAAACAATCTGAAAGTATGTGCGTCCAGACTGAAAACTATTTGAATCTTTTGGATGTTTACCACCATATTTACACCGGACACCTGTGACAAAACTAAATCACTCCGGAGCGGTCTACACTGTGAGCACCTGATGTGGACGCCCCATTTCTGACTCCAGACACATCTAAAATGAAGTGATTTTATTAAAATTCTTTTATAAATTGTATTCTTTACAGGTTTAAATAACTTCTGACCCTTATATCAAAGCCAGCTCATGATGTTTCTGGTCTGACATAATAATTTGAATCATTTTTAAAAAAAATTATCCATATACATATGCAGTTGTAGGAATACTAACATAATTAATATCGATTATAAAATTATTAATAATAATAATTTTGTAATTTTGTGTTAAAAATAAAGTTTTCTTTTCCCGACTATTACCGATTATTACTACCGATTATATTGTTATTTTTCTTAATTGCTGAAGCTTAGCCTTCTAGTCTGGTATACTTCAAACATTTTTGGTTTCTAACCATACGCATATGCAGTTGTAAGAGTACTAACATACTTAAAAATAATTATAAAATTATCACATGCAAAATTAATTTTGTAATGGATTTCTGATGAAAATTACGATTTCTTTTTCAACTGATTTTATTGTAATTTTTCCAATCTCTGAAGTTTAGCATTCTGGTCTGGCGTACTAATTTTACTGATTTTGTTTTCTAACAATATGCATATGCAGTTGTAGGAATATGACCATATGTAAAATGAATGATATAGTTAATCACATGCCAAATCAATTTCATAATGTATTTCTGTGGAAAATAAAGTTTTTTTATTCAAAGGATTTTGACGTGATTTTAATAATCGTTAAAGTCTAGCCTTCTGGTTTGACGTGCTAATTGTAATAATTTTGTTATTTCTACTATAAGCATATCCAGTTGTAGGAATACGATCGTAAAATTAGTTATCAAATTAATCACATGCAAAATCAATTTTATACTGTATTTCGGTCGAAAATAAAGATTTTTTTTGTCTGATCGACAAACTGATTTTACTGTCGTTTTAGTAATCGTTGATTACTAAACTCTAGGCTTGAGCTTACAGCTGATTGTGAATGTATCCAGTGTAGACGGCCTCAAGTTGTCGCGATGTCCGCTTCCAGTGTAGACACGGACGTGTTTGACTCGACCCTTGGTTTGTGTTCGACTTACTGACCAACCATCGCCAAACGTTCCCATCCAACAACTCCTCTGAGCTATTCTACAATACACACCGATCTGATAGTGAAACATCTGTATAATACATTCACAAGGTAGACAGCTGGCAGGGCTGGGTGTCAGGTGTCCGGCAGTATCGTTCACGCGCAGGTGCCTCTACCCCGAGTCTTGTGCGCAATCTCGCACGACTCCAACTCTTTTCTCCGTTTGGCTGCCGGATGCTCTCCATCCGGCTGGGAATTCTGGAGCATTTTTCATCTGCGGCTTCTTTATTCTTTTTCTTCCTCTGTCTCTGTCAGAAGAACATGTACTGGTTGTCGATGGCTCTCTTGCGCCCCCTGTCGGGTGGCTCCAGTTCGTAGTCAGAGTCCTGGTTGGGCAGTAGCGGCGGCAGCGGGTTGGGGTGGCGGAGCAGGTTTCTGCGGCCCACCGACTCGCTCCGGCGCAGGGGGACGGGAACGGGGCGGTCTGGAAACGAAGAGGGTGTGCGATGCGGGAGCGCGGATAATGCTAATGACTGGGCCGTGGTGGGGCTGGAGTGAGGGCATGAATCCGGACTACAGTGAGCTAGACTCGGCTCTGAGCTCCAGCGAGAGAAGGGCACCAATACCGGAGAGCTGATAGCTGAACTCTGACCTAGAGAGATGCAACAGAGAAAACACTTCATTAACACAACAGTGAGAGAACACATAGCCAGGGCTGTCCTTAGGGGGGTGCAACTGGTGCGGTCGCACCGGGCCCCGAGCTTGAGGGGGCCCCGCGGCGAACGGGGGGGGGGGGGGGGGGGGGGGGGGGGGTCCCGCTACCTACCTCGCACCGGGCCCCACGTCAGCTAAGGACGGCCCTGCACATAGCCGCTACAAAAAAGTTTTGCATTTTGGTTTTTAGTTGTAGTTAGTATTAACGGTACATAAAGATTTGATTTAGGTTCAATGTCATTTTAGTTTCTTCCCTTATAAATGTAGAATCACAAATTGTCCCATCCAACACTATACATAGTCAGAAACTCACTCTTAAAATAATACACTTAAAATAATACTATCAAATTTGAAGTTCACCGTTTTGATTCGTAAAATTCACAAAAGTTACCAGAACTTTTGACCAATTACTTTCCATTTTTTATTACTTTTCCTGAAAAAGCCTTCGGTCCCTCAGTTGTCCTCCGTGTGAAAAGATAGATTTCAAAATCCTACAGTCATTGTTGTAAAGGGTTCAAATACACAAAAGATGCTGGAAAACCAAAGAATCTGTGGGACCTGAAGGATTTCTCTGAAGAATAGCTGTGTATCTTTCAGGTAACAACACAGTATTAAGAATCATGTGTATGTAAACTTTTGAATGGGGTCATTTTTATAAATTCAACTATCACGTTTCCACAAAAAGGTTACGCAGCAAACTGTTTTCAACATTGATAATAATAAGAAAAGTTTCCTGAGCAGAAAGTCAGGATATTAGAATGATTTCTGAAGGAAGACTGGAGTAATGATGCTGGAAATTCAGCTTTGCATCACAGGAATAAATTACATTTGACAATATATTTACATAGAAATTATATATATTTTTTTGAAATTGTAAAAATATTTCACAATATTAGTTTTTACGGAATTTTTTATCAAATAATTCCAGCCTTGGTGAGCATAAGAGATATCTTTTAAAAACAATGACCCCAAACTTTTGAAAGGTAAGTGTACTGTATACTTACAATGATGCCCATCAATAGAAATGATTATGGATGGAAATCAACTATTTTAAATCTGACAATAAACCTAAATAACCGTTTTATTCTCCCTGTATCCCATAGAGGGCATCGTCTTCACACTCTCAAGCTCTGCATCCTCTACAAGTATCACAGAGTGTGTTTGAACGTTGAAGTATATTGAAGTATGAGCACAAAATAGGGCATGTTATTAAAATGTGTATATGTACGTATGTGATAAAACAGGCTCTGTGTATATGTGTGTATTTTACAGCTTGTGAAGGAGGGACTGCAGGAAACAGAAACTTGACGGCAGATTAGTCTGAAGTCACAGAGTCTGCAGTTCTGATGATATAGGTATGAGTGCATGGACGATTATGTGTGTGTGTGTGTGTGTGTGTGTGTGTGTGTGTATTTGAGAGAGTGCATGTTTCCTTGTGTCAGGTCTCTCTGAACTACTAAAACCAATCTAAACCACACAGCATAAGAGGAAAACGGATCCTGTCGAGCTGTACGTGTGTGTGTGTGTGTGTGTGTGTGACAGAGACAAGAAAGAAATTGTATGCATGTTAGCTGCTTGAGCATTTATAGATAAATAACTGCTATGCAATATATTTTTTTATAATATACTATCCTACATTATATAAGTTTAACAGTGCAGTGCTAAACAGTGTATGCTCACATAAACTAGATTTATTACATTTTTATTATGCTTTTCAATGTGGCTTACAAACAAAATCCAAAATTAATTCTTGCCAAGCGCCAAATGTGTGAAAAAAATGGGCTTTGGTGACTAAATCAAACCAATAACTATTACGACCTGCAAAATCACATGGTTTACATCAGACTGTGAAAATGACTCAGAAGTGATTCAAATAGAGTTGTCTACTAAGAAAACATCTGTTGTGACATAAGTGATATTGTTTAAAAGACCTCCAAAATGTCACATTGAGGCATTTATGTGTTATATTGCTCACATTAAGCCATCAGAACGAAAGCAGAAAGAGCAAAATCACGATGAGCACTAATGTTTTTGAAGTTTCAAGCAAATGACTTGTTCATCTTGTGTGCTATTGCTGCAAATGATGTATGTGCTGTTGTCACAAATATGCAAAAATGTTAATCTAATAGTCAAAATGCATTCTTAATAAAAACTATGCAAAATACAGTCTTACCTGCGTGAGTGGGGTTTAGCCGCACATAATTGGCCAACATAACTTCACACGCGGCGCCGCACTCCAGCGGGATGGGACAGTTGCGGAAGTGACTCAGCATGTCCATGACTGATGGGAAACGCAGGTGCTGCACACGGCACTGACCCCATTCAGTTAAAGATAGACGCAAATGCTGCAAAGGAAGAAAAACAGTGGAAAATGCAATATAAATACAGACATGAACAGAAAGATGCGCATCAGTCATAGTGAGGTTTGCCTTGCTAAGCAATATGGAACACACTAATATAGAGATCTGATATACTTGATACTTCTACAATTTTAACAAATACATTTTTTTTTAATGACTAAAACTAATAATGATATGATGACAATTTTACACATTGAAATGGATCTGTTGTTTTTTTGTGTGTGTGTGTGTTTTTTTTTAATTACAATAGTATTCAAACAATATAAAGCACAGTAAAAAAAGACAGATAATCATTTAAAACAATCAGAAAAAAAATGAATAGGAAAAAAGAAGCCCTGTTTAGAAGCCAAAACCTGATAGCAATAAAAGAAACATACATAAAAATGAACTATTATGATAAAAAAAAAGAATTATGATGAAAAAAAGTAATTAAATATAAATAAATAATAATAAAAAATACATATTTGTTCACTACTGCTATGATGGCCAATTTCATACATTTACATGGTTCTATCCTTTGTTTTTCATAAGTGTTTTTTTTATAAAATATTATTAAATCAATATAATATACAGTAAAAAATAATTGCGTACTGCCTTCTTTTAAAACATTGACTGAATAAAAAAAGTGATGCCAACAAAAACAAAGTGTGTGTGGTATGTATGTGTGTATATATATATATATATATATATACACATGTGTGTGTGTGTGTGTGTATGTATGTATATGTATATGTATATGTATATATATATATATATATACACACATACACACACACTACCGTTCAAAAGTTTGGGATCAGTAAGATTTTTAATACTTTTTACTGAAGTTTCTCGAAGTTTGCTCATCAAGGCTGTATTTATTTGATCAAAAATACAGAAAAAACCCTGTTATTTTGTGAAGTATTATTGCAATTTAAAATAACAGTTTCTATTTTAATATACTTTAAAATATCATTTATTCCTGTGATGCAAAACTGAATTTTCAGCATCATTACTGCATTACATTACATATCAGTGTCACATGATCCTTCAGAAATCATTCTAATATGCTGATTTATTATCAATGTTGCTGCTTCATGTTTTTTTCAGGATTCTTTTATTAAGAATACATATTAATTCAAATTTAAATAAAATGTAATAAATACAATTTAAAAAAATGATATTGTGAATATATAAGTATATAAATATATTTATTTTTTATATATGTGGCTAGCATGTCACTGTTTTCACACATTTTTTATTATTTTATATTATTACTATTATAATAATATAGATTTTTTATTTAATATTTGTAATACTATAAAAGTTTATTAATATAAAATATATAAATACATCTCAAATAATAATAATAGAAAGAATAAACTGGTCACTGATATTGTATATCCCTAATGAAAATAATGAAAATAATGAAATGTTTTTGTCATTCATGATAATGAGGATGAGGATGATGTGCAAATTAGTGTGTGATATTATGCAGTGACATTTAGCAAGCTTTTGAGCCACTTTCCATTGAAACAGTTTTTTACACCTTTATTCATATAGCGCTTTTAACAATACAGATGGTGTCAAAGCAGCTTTATATGGAAGCATATAGGTAGCGAAATTCAATTTAAAATGCAATATGCAAAATGGCAATGTATTTCTGTATTTAAATGGACATTTTCCATTACCCACACGTGCAAAGTTTGTTGCAAAAAGAAAATGAAAATATATCATTTACATTTGCCATTTCCGACAGTACGCACCAATAAAACCAATAACTATTACGACCTGCAAAATCACATGGTTTACATCAGACTGTGAAAATGACTCAGAAGTGATTCAAATAGAGTTGTCTACTAAGAAAACATCTGTTGTGACATAAGTGATATTGTTTAAAAGACCTCCAAAATGTCACATTGAGGCATTTATGTGTTATATTGCTCACATTAAGCCATCAGAACGAAAGCAGAAAGAGCAAAATCACGATGAGCACTAATGTTTTTGAAGTTTCAAGCAAATGACTTGTTCATCTTGTGTGCTATTGCTGCAAATGATGTATGTGCTGTTGTCACAAATATGCAAAAATGTTAATCTAATAGTCAAAATGCATTCTTAATAAAAACTATGCAAAATACAGTCTTACCTGCGTGAGTGGGGTTTAGCCGCACATAATTGGCCAACATAACTTCACACGCAGCGCCGCACTCCAGCGGGATCGGACAGTTGCGGAAGTGACTCAGCATGTCCATGACTGATGGGAAACGCAGGTGCTGCACACGGCACTGACCCCATTCAGTTAAAGATAGACGCAAATGCTGCAAAGGAAGAAAAACAGTGGAAAATGCAATATAAATACAGACATGAACAGAAAGATGCGCATCAGTCATAGTGAGGTTTGCCTTGCTAAGCAATATGGAACACACTAATATAGAGATCTGATATACTTGATACTTCTACAATTTTAACAAATACATTTTTTTTTAATGACTAAAACTAATAATGATATGATGACAATTTTACACATTGAAATGGATCTGTTGTTTTTTTGTGTGTGTGTGTGTTTTTTTTTAATTACAATAGTATTCAAACAATATAAAGCACAGTAAAAAAAGACAGATAATCATTTAAAACAATCAGAAAAAAAATGAATAGGAAAAAAGAAGCCCTGTTTAGAAGCCAAAACCTGATAGCAATAAAAGAAACATACATAAAAATGAACTATTATGATAAAAAAAAAGAATTATGATGAAAAAAAGTAATTAAATATAAATAAATAATAATAAAAAATACATATTTGTTCACTACTGCTATGATGGCCAATTTCATACATTTACATGGTTCTATCCTTTGTTTTTCATAAGTGTTTTTTTTATAAAATATTATTAAATCAATATAATATACAGTAAAAAATAATTGCGTACTGCCTTCTTTTAAAACATTGACTGAATAAAAAAAGTGATGCCAACAAAAACAAAGTGTGTGTGGTATGTATGTGTGTATATATATATATATATATACACACATACACACACACTACCGTTCAAAAGTTTGGGATCAGTAAGATTTTTAATACTTTTTACTGAAGTTTCTCGAAGTTTGCTCATCAAGGCTGTATTTATTTGATCAAAAATACAGAAAAAACCCTGTTATTTTGTGAAGTATTATTGCAATTTAAAATAACAGTTTCTATTTTAATATACTTTAAAATATCATTTATTCCTGTGATGCAAAACTGAATTTTCAGCATCATTACTGCATTACATTACATATCAGTGTCACATGATCCTTCAGAAATCATTCTAATATGCTGATTTATTATCAATGTTGCTGCTTCATGTTTTTTTCAGGATTCTTTTATTAAGAATACATATTAATTCAAATTTAAATAAAATGTAATAAATAAAAAATGAAAAAATGATATTGTGAATATATAAGTATATAAATATATTTATTTTTTATATATGTGGCTAGCATGTCACTACATTTTTTAATTTTTTATTATTTTATATTATTACTATTATAATAATATAGATTTTTTATTTAATATTTGTAATACTATAAAAGTTTATTAATATAAAATATATAAATACATCTCAAATAATAATAATAGAAAGAATAAACTGGTCACTGATATTGTATATCCCTAATGAAAATAATGAAATGTTTTTGTCATTCATGATGATGAGGATGATGATGATGATGATGATGTACCTTTGCTCTGCCCTGGTAGTTAAACGTGAGGACGTAGTCTCCTCTCCGCGTCTCGCTCTGTCTCACGAGGAAGTTCCCATGACCGCTGAACCCGGCATGCTGTACAAGGTAGGCAGCCCGCACACGTGATATGGGCCCATGGAACCATGGGTAAGAGGACAGGAAGTGATCCGTTTTATTGTAGGCGTGCTCTGCGAGTCCAAAACCCAGAGAGCCTGCGGAGACACACATGTATGTATGACAGAACGTTTACAGACATCAGAGCAGTCCATTACCATGCAAAATAATTTAATCGCATCTGTTAGTTTATAAAAACATATGCAATAGTGGAAATCTATGCAGAAAAGGAAACTGTCACACTGTTTCAAAAGTATAACCAAAACATAAAGATGCCATTACATCAAAATTGACAGTTTTTAGCCCGTTTACACCATGTTTTGGTTGATTCAACCACAAATGTCTTCAGTTCTCAGTTATTTTAGATTAATAATTTAATATTAAAGGGTTAGTTCAACCCAAAATGAAAATTCTGTCATTAATTACTCACCCTCATGTTGTTCTAAACCCGTAAGACCTTCGTTCATCTTCAGAACACAAATTAAGATATTTTTTATCTCTGACCCTCCCATAGACAGCAACGCAACTGAAATGTCCCCAGACAGAAACATAGCAAGGACATCGGTAAAACAGTCCATGTGACATCAGTAGCTGAACTTCAATTTTGTGAAGCTACGAGAATACTTTTGTGCGCAAAGAAAACAAAAATAACAATTTATTTAACAATTCTTCTCCCCAGAGTTACGTCTTCCGCTATTTTGGAGAGTACCCAAGAACGTAATCGGCGTTGTTTACATTAGGGGGGAAAGTGTGCGCATGAACGTAATCGGCGTTGTTTACATTAGGGGGGAAAGTGCGCGCATGAACGTAATCGGCGTAATCAGCGTTGTTTACACTTAGGTTAAAGCGTGCGTATGTGTTGTGATACTCTCCAAAATGGCAGAAGACATAACTCGGGGGAGAAGAATTGTTGAATAAAGTCATCATTTTTGTTTTCTTTGCGCACAAAAAGTATTCTCTGAAGTTCAGCTACTGATGTCACATGGACTGTTTTACCGATGTCCTTGCTATGTCTCTGTCTGGGAACATTTCAGTTGCGTTGCTGTCTATGGGAGGGTCAGAGAGCTCTCAGATTCCATCAAAAATATCTTAATTTGTGTTCAGAAGATGAACGGAGGTCTTACGGGTTTGGAACGATGTGAGGGTCAGTAATTAATGACAGAATTTTCATTTTGGGGTGAACTAACCCTTTAATATAAGTGTTGATATTTAAGTAAGAGAGAGTGTGTGTGTGTACGTGACTCGCCCTGGCCGCCGGGCTCTGTACTCCCTCTGCGAGCTGTGTTGAGCGAGTCGCTAACAGGAAACGGTTCTCCATCCACACTATCTGACCTGGAATCACACATACACTCTCATAAACATCTATGAACTCCTTTAATTGCATAATGAAGAGGTCACAGTATGTCATGCGGTCAATAACATCCCATCACATATGCTAAGCTGCGTCCACGCTACAAAGCAAAGCTTTCAACAACGATAAGTTATTTTTTGGCATGCATACAGCGGCCCTAAAAAGCATGTGGACCCCTAAGTAACACTTACAAATGTGTGGATGTCACTGCATTACATTACAAAGCATAAAACCAGCTGGCATTTATTTTAAAGAATGTTTTTCTTTTTTAAAAATAAATTTTAATAGATACACTTTAAAATATATATTTTTATTATTTTAAAATAATTACATTATTTTACCTTATTTCTAGTCCTATTTTCCATTACATAATACATTTTATAGCAACTATATTACATTTAGTAAAATTTATTTTTATTAATTATTGTCATTTATTGCTATTCTTCAAATAATCAAAATAGAGATTAAAAAAATTAATTCTGGTATAATTGTCACTTTAAAAAATGGAATAACAAGATGAGTGGGACAGTTTTCTGTTGCATACTGAACAATTTGGCAAATTAAGTTGGACATTCAAATATTTGACAATTTTCATGCTGCTTTACTTTTACTTTTTTGTTTACACACACGCGCACACACATATATAATATTTACAATATATTAAAAATATAATTATTTTGAATAACTATATAATGAACATATTCATTAAAATATAGCGTTTAAATTAAAATATTATATTTATAATTAGTACATAAAAAAAATAAAATTAGTAAAAACTCATGAAAAACTGGGAGAAAATCGTGACTAATTAAAATAAATAAATAAATATGAATGCAATGAACACAGCAAGAAACTGGGTCAAGAGGAGAGCAGATCTTATAGGATGAGAATTACACAGAAAAACAGACGTGGCTTTGAAACCTATAGGGACGAAATGAAGGAAAGGACACAGAAAGAGAGCAGAAGCAAGACTCGGGGAGGGGCTTTAGGGGAAGTTGCGGGAGAAAGCAGCACAAAAGCTTTTGGTTCGAGTCAGGAAATGTGTCGTGTAATTCTTGGACAAGCGAAAACACTATTGTATACGATGCTCTTATGTCAAGACGAATGCATGCATAAAGGGTGGATCGAAAAAAGGGTTAAAAAAAAGGCAAATGAGAGAGTGAGAAAAAAGAGAGAGAGAAGGGGGCATGGAGAGAAAGGAGGCCATGAGATGTGCTGAGTCAAGTTCTTGAGATTCTTAGTAATCAGAATAACAGGAAGACCTCACTCTCGTTCTCTCTCTCTCTTCCTAAAACGCACATTGATATATTCACACAGGCTTGAGTTCTCAGTACCCTCACACCAATAAAAGGAAATGAAACACATGCGTTTGCACACACACAAATACACCTTTTGTAAAAGACTCAGCATGTGCGGAACACACAGATGGTGTGTGTGTGTGTGGACATGTCTGCAAGCAAACAAACCAAGCACATCTAAATTAAGACTTAAAAATACTAAAATATGCGAGAACCCAACTGATGAGGATTTCTTTAGCACTAAGTTTGGTTTTATTCTGTGTGTGTGTGTGTGTGTGTGTGTGTGTGTGAAAGAGGAAATGAGTGGGTTTTCTCAGTAGGGGAATGTCAGGAACTTTAGCAGATGTCTGGGATCTTCAGAGGTAAGTTTAGTTCAAACGCAGAAAGCGCCGCTCTCACCTGCTGGTGATGCATTCTCTGAGCTCTGTGGTCCAAGAGCTCACCTGCTGCTCATTATCGGCCTCAAATAGAAAACTACCCGGATGACCAGTAACCTGAGCGAAGAATGGAGAAAAAAAGAAACACATCAACCAACAGAACAGAAGACAATAAAAGATTTAGAAAAGAACTTGATTGTTTCGTAAGGGATTCATACAAAAATTCTTACTGAACCTTCATATTCATACCAAATACAGTATCTGAGAGTTATTCCTAAGGCCGATTAAAGGGTTAGTTCACCCAAAAATGAAAATTCTGTCATTAATTACTCACCCTTATGTCGATCTGAACCCGTAACGATCTGAACCTCCGTTCATCTTCGGAACACAAATTAAGATATTTTTGATGAATTCTGAGAGCTCTCTGACCCTCCCATAGACAGCAATGTAATTACCGCGATCAAGGTCCAGAAACGTAGCAAGGAGATCGATAAAATAATCCATGTGACATCAGGGGTTCAATTGCAATTTTACGGAGCTACGAGAATACTTTTTGTATGCAAAGAAAACAAAAATAACGACTTTATTCAACAATTCGTCACCCTGGTGCCATTTTGGAGAGTATCCACTGAATGTAAACAGCGTATGCTATTCTGTGTCAGCTGCGTCATGCGGATACGTATCGTTATTTTTGCTTTCTTTGCATACAAAAAGTATTCTCGTAGCTTCGTAAAATTACAGTTGAACACCTGATGTCACATGGATTATTTTACCGATCTCCTTGCTACGTTTCTGGACCTTGATCGTGGTTATTACATTGCTGTCTATGGGAGGGTCAGAGAGCACTCAGAATTCATCAAAAATATCTTAATCTGTGTTCAGAAGATGAACAGAGGTCTTCCGGGTTTAGAACGACATGAGGGTGAGTAATTAATGACAGACTTTTCATTGTTGGGTGAACTAACCCTTTAATTGGCTGATTTTGGATTATTTTGATTATTATATGCATCATGTTTTACAATATTTTTGAGTAAATTTGAAGCTAGATTTGCAAACAAATTGCTAAAATAAAATATTTAATAAAATAAAAATAAAAAATGTAAATTAATTAAATAAAAATTATATATATACACACATAGTCATAAAACCTTTTATTTAAATATACAAACATTTTATTTAAATGTATAACTCTCAATTATGAGGTCACAAAAGCTTTTATTTAAATATATACATTCCAAAATACTATTCCATGTAGTCTCTCGATTATTATGAGGACATAAAAGCTTTTATTTAAATTTAGAAAACTTTTATTTTAATATATTTAAATGAAAAACTATTCTAAATTCTATTAGGCACAAAAACTGCATGCATAGCAATTATTAAGACTGTATAGTTTTAGATAGAAAAAAGCTTATCGCACCACGCGGGCGCTGGCATCATCGACTGCATTAGATTGGCCATCAGCCACTGCTCTCTAGATATCAGCAGAGACCAAAGGAAAACCCATTTTGGTCGACCACTAATCATGACGACTTCAGCAGACAGCAAAGGAAAAAAAAAAGAATCAAAGACTAAGTTCTCCTTTCCAGATCTGAATCGATTAAATTTCCAAGAAGAGTCAAAAAAGATTTTCAAATCATATACAGTGGGTTCCAAAAACCACTGATTCCACATAATCAGTGACACTCGTTTACTTCATGATCAGTCCTAAAAATTGTGCACAATCTGAAATATTTTTGAAAGTTTATAATGAAGGTCCTAAACCCTTGTTGATTTCCATGTATAAATGTAAAATAAATACTTTCAATGTGGTCTTAAACCTTTGGACCCCACTTTATGTATTACATACTAGTTCAATAATTCTATATAAATGTAATCAAATTGAATAAGCATTGATTTATTGCATGCAATATTTACTAAAACCTGCACCAAAATAATTTTGAAAACAGGACGTGCATACACATATTCTTAAAATGGCCTAATATCATCCAAAAGAATCAGCCTCTTGAATATATTAGTTTATCAATAAAATGAATCAGTGTGTAATAATTTATGACAGTATGCGTCTTCGTTCACCTTTAAGACAAACGTGTTCATGTTGTCTGGCATCTCTAGTCGATTACAGCGTCGAATCTCTTGGATGTCCGAACAGGGTACTGTAAGCTTTGGAGTTTTGTAGTCCTAAAACACAAAGAAAGCAACACATCTTCTTAATATAATCATATAATAGTTACATAATGTCTTTAGAAACATTTGCTTTCATATATAAACTCGAAAACCTCCTTTACCATTTATATTGTGCTTGTATGTGGTATTTTTACTACCCTTGTAAATGCATTAGCCTAAATGTTGTACGGTAGCAAATGTTTTCTCTTGAAAAAGTTGCTCTTCTCTATTTATCTTTGTAAATGCTACTAAACTTAGAGCAGATTTCCACAACAGCAACTCTGACACGGCATTATAAGAATTATTACTCAGGAACTCAACACTACTGCTGCTTATATTGTTCTCATTTGTGAGATAAAAGTGTCTGCAAAATAAATGCAAATGCAAAATTTTACATTAATAAATAAACTCTGAATTGTATGGAAGCTTGTTCCTGCCAGACTCCATTAAAAGAGGCAACTCAGAGAAAAGTAAAAATTGCAAAAAAATAACTTTTTTTTCCTTGCAAAAAGGTCAGAACCGCAAGACAGAAGTCAGAATTCTCACAATTCTGACTTTTTCTCAGAATTCTGAGTTTACATCATGCAATTCTGTTTTTCTTTTCTTAGAATTCTGAGTTTAAGAATTCTGAACTTTAATCTCTCTGTTCTGTTTTTTTTTTTTTTGCTCCTATGGAATAAGCTTGTTTTTCGGCCACAGGATAAAATAATACATTTAGCTAATTGCGACTTTTATCTCACAATTCTGACCTTTTTTCTCAGAACTGCTACATAAGTTTACAATTCTGAGAAAAAAAAGTCTGAATTGTGAGCTATAAGTTCACATTTGCAAGAAAAAAAAGTCGGAGATAAAAAGTTGCAATTGACTCTTTTATTTTTTATCCTGTGGCGGAAACAAGCTTCCATAGATTTGTTCTCCCATACTGACTCAAAACCAAACAAGCTGCTTTATAAATCCATAAAACTTAATGCACCACTCAGACATACAATCTGACAAACAAGGACTATGTCATCGATGATAAAACATAGATTTCTAGTGCATGACACACTCCAGTGTGGGTTTGAGCGGAGAGAGGGAAAACAGAGGGGGATGATTTCCTTGTTCTACTGGGATTAGCTAAGAATGCTCATCTGGAAATTAAGAGAGAATGGAGCTATGACCCGTGATCTGAAACCTTCGACCTACGCCTACACACACATATACACACTCACAAAATACACACGCACACCAAATCTCCTTGGGAAAAAATGAGAGCGGATTCCGGGAAGTTGTGAGAGCTGCAAATGAATCCGGACGCTCTGAGCTGCAGGAATTTCCAGTGTGTCCTGTTAGTTCTGACACATCAAAGATTTGGGAATGAAGAAGCTCTTTCTCTCTCAAACGAAATCTGTCAGAGTGAGTCAGACTGAATCACGGCTTAAAATAGCTTCACACGCACAGGCTCATGCCAAATCAACGGTGCTGTAATATTACGATCTTTCCTCTTTGAACTGCAGTCAACTACTACAGAGGAGAGTAGAAAACACCACTGACTCATTCACATCCACGCACACTTCTGCACTAATTCCAGCAGAACAAGAAGTATTCAACCACACACATATACGGTAAAACAGATGATTGGTTTCTCTTCTCCATTTCTCTTCGCAAATGCAAGAAACTTTCTATTAAACTTGGAGCAGATTTCCATAGAAGCAACTCTGCTGTTGAATTATAAGAATTCTAGGAACTAATACTAAAGAAGACTTAGTTTGAGTCTGAGAATCAGCATCAAAGATATTACAACAAAATAGCAGTATATTTTATAACTTTTGACATCCATGTTTCTTGTTCAGTTTAAGGAGCGATTCCTATCACACATTATACAATAATAACAGTTCTGGCTGTATATAAATACGTTTACGGACAAAACATTTTATACAGCTAGCATGAATATGGTTACATATGAACAATGATTTAAACTAGTACACATACAGTTGCTAATAAAAGATGATTGGTGCATCATTTAAACTGATGTACATATGGATGAACAAAAGATCATTTAAAGTAGTATAACTACAAACTATGGAAGCAGATTAGACTCAATAATAATTCACGCAAAAGACACGATGAACACATGCGTATCCCAATTCACATGCATGAAACCCAATTCACATGCGCGAAAAAAAAAATTCACAAAAAAACAATTGTGTGTGAATTTGTGTGTGTATTTTCGAGACTTTCCTGGCAGCGAACTCTTCCCATGCGAGTCACCCGTACTCTTTAGCCAATCAGATTTGAGCCTGTCCATCGACCAATCATAACCTACCTGGATGTTACGTCATCAGCGAGAGACCACAGTTCAAGTCACGGTTCAGCAGAGGTTTGTGCAGTTGATCGTTTGATTTCAGTTAACTAGCCTTGTAAAGGTGTATTGTTTTATCTTTGCATGCTTACTTAAAGGGGTCATATGATGCGATTTCAAGTTTTCCTTTCTCTTTGGAGTGTTACAAGCTGATTGTGAATAGAGAAGATCCCTAAAGTTGCAAAGACTAAAGTCTCAAACCCAAAGAGATATTCTATTTAAAAGTTAAGACTCGTCCACGTCCTCCTAAAACGCCTCGTTTAAACACGCCCCCACATGTCTACGTCACTGTGTGGGAAGATTTGCATAACACCGCCCAAATGTTCACGCAAAGAAATAAGACGTAACTTTGATTCTCGCTGTAGTATTGTTACCGCTGCCGCCGCCGTGTTGTGGAGACGCTGTGTGTTTCGTTGCGAAAGAGAGAATACTTTGTTTGGCCTTCCAAAAGAGGACACAACTAGAAATCAGTGGTTAAGTTGTATTTACAACACTGTTCCAGAACAGTTCAAACCAAATATTCGTGTGTGCAACGCATTTTACAGAGGACTGTTTCCTGAACCTGGGGGAGTAGCCTACAATGCCGGCTGTTCTGAATCACAGCCTGTAAGTATGTTTTCATATTTAAAGGATTTGCCACTGACGATTCAAACGCGAGTTTTGAGCAGTGTAGAGTAGCGCTTGTTGTTTGTCATTTCTCCGATCACAAATGCAGACATGGTTTTATGTTTACGCGGCGCGATGCAACGCAATGTGTAAAAAGACAGTATAAGTCATTATAATCAGCAATTATGTCTCCACTGGATGCAACAAATGCCTCGTTTATAATGGGTTTGATTGTTTTTGTCTCATCGCGCCGGGACATAGCATCACAGTATTGTAAGGGGTGTAACATTTCCGTCACACTCTTGAGGCATTCGGCAAATCACAACGCACTGGATATCTGGCCAATCAGAGCACACTTCACTTTTCAGACCGATGAGTTTTGTAAAAATCGACGTGTTTCAGAAAGGCGGGGCATAGAGGAGAAACAATAATGTACAGTATGTGGAAAATGTGTTTTTTTAACCTTAAACCGCATAAACACATTTCATTACACCAAATACACCAAATAATTTTCTTTTAAAGCAACGTCATATAACCCCTTTAAAACTTGGAAGTAAAATCGGTCATTTAGACATACTCGTTCACATGACCAGTGTAAGCCAGCGGCTGCTATGAAAACAGATAGTGTTGCCAAAAAAGTCTTGTGTTAGCCACAATGTCCCGTATACTGGCCAAAATGAAGAAAGAATTCTGCTCATTGCCCTGTTTTTGTTCAGCAACGCTGGGTGGCCAATGTCCAGCCTAGCTCCCACTTAGCGCTGACCCTGCCCTCATCATAGCAGCTTTATATAAAGATGAATAGACCTAACAAGAACTCGGTGTATGAATAACGGTGTGTTTGTACTCACCATTTGTGCAACAGGATGCAGTGCTCAATTAATACACACTAATTGTTTTCCTTGCATTTTTCAGGATTTAAACACTTTGCACAACATCTGGATGACAGTTACAGACCTCTTCATTCACATTAATCTTTATCTGTTTTTTACCTTTATGTATTCATTTCTTAATGTAATCAACATTCATTTACTTATTTGTTTTACTGTGATTAACCGTTTGTGCAACAGGATGCAGTGTTCAATTAATACACACTAATTGTTTTCCTTGATTTTTCAGGATTTAAACACTTTGCACAACATCTGGATGACAGTTACAGACCTCTTCATTCACATTAATCTTTATCTGTTTTTTACCTTTATGTATTCATTTCTTAATGTAATCAACATTCATTTACTTATTTGTTTTACTGTGATTAACCGTTGTTAATATTTAATCTTATGTTGAGTTGTGATGTAAAAATCTTTGAGATTACAATACACAAGACGATGTTGGGAAGCAGCAGTTGTATTTGCTTGGTGACAGTTGTGGAATTTATGCTGGTCAGACAAAGACAGACTGATCATAAAAAGCAATGCAACAAAGATTCTTCAGTAAATTTTATTCAGTTATTTTATCACTTTATCTTATGCTTCCTGCTCTTTCTGTATCTGTATCTCTTGTGAAAGTATAAGAGTTAACAAGCCAAGGTGTTAACTGCTTTGAATATCAGACCAAAACCTGGCACGTCCCGACAGAGAGAGAGAGAGAGAGAGAGAGAGATAGTGAAGACTGGATCTAAAACATTTGATTAATTAACTTTTCACATAATGTATTACACTGATACTTGTATTTATCATTCAGCCATTAAAGTTTACTTTAAAAGAATGCTAAAGACTCTAAATGGGACACTATCCCAGCCATTCAGTGTAATTGAGGTTTGAACACCCTTTGACTGAAGAACCTCTAGCACAGCATCAAACTGGTATCGAGCCAATCTCAGCTGTAGTTGTGCTATGTTTGTATTCCCTCATAATTGTCAATTCATATTTCATGTTACAGGTACATTACAATGAATCATGGTCAGGTCATTTCATGGACATTTCATTCCCAAAGTATTCAGAAAACTTTAATAAACTTTAATAAATCTTATACAGCAACTGTAACAACCGACTTGCTTTGAATGTTTTAATTCTGACATAAAACCAGAACAATAACAAGAACATTTAACAATGCATAACAAAGCTTTACG